CCCTCCCTGGCATCCACCATCATTGGTTTAATGGTGTCTGAGGATACATCCGTTTTCCGTTTAATAGCTATAATGAGATTTTACATCCATGAATTTTCATCCTTTGTCAGAAAAGGGGGCTAACTAGACAGCTAAGTTATTTGCCTCTACAACTTCATGTTTCAATGAGTTCTACAAGTTTAACTACACACTACACAAACTAAAATAAAATAAAATACTTTCTCTTGTTAGTTTTAAACCTGCTTCCTGCTAATTTAATAGGTGCCCCCTAGTTTTAGTGTTCTGGAACTTGGTGAATAACAGTTCCCCATTTAATTTTCTTCACATCTTCATGATTCCATAGACCTCGATATTCCCCCCAAGTTTTCTCCTTTCCAAATTGAAGAGTTTAGCCTTTTTAGTCTCTCCTAGCATGGCAGCTGTTCCATACCCCAATCATCTTGGTTGTCCTTCGCTGTACCTCTTCCAATTCTACAATGTTTTTGAGATGTGAAGACCAGAACTGCACGCAGTTATACGCAGCTCTTGGAGACTGACCCACCATTTCATTATATATGTGTGAGAAGGGCAGAAGGATGCATCAGAAGTATATATGAACCTGCCATTGATGACCTTGGGTGTCTGACGGTGCGTCTACACATCACCGTATGGTGACATTACTGCGGCACCATGTGCACCCTCCTGCTCTTGTATAGGTAATCTCTAGCAACCTTCGAGCGCACACCTGGTTCCAGCCACAGTGTATCCCCAGGACTTGTGCAGTGGGTCACGTTCACCCCCGAGGGAGGCCCCGACGCTTGCCTGCTATGACTTTGTCTTCTTTTCCTCAGTGGTGGGGCTCCTCCTCACAGATTCTAGCAGGCCAGGTGCTTCCCTTTGCAGGTGTTCTTGGGGCTTCACCTCCCCTACACCCCAGCCATGCACCTGCCCTCAGGACTGCTGAATAATGAGTTGCAGCCTGTCCCGTTTGATGTTCTCGTCCTCTCCCTGCCTATCCCTCGATAACCTTTTTACCCTGGATGGCAGCGGGGTGTGGGACCTTCCTTGTCTCTCTAGCTGTTCTCCCTCTGAGGCATCTGCTGTGCTGCCTCAGTTCTCTCTCTTGACCTAGAGTCACTTGGATGTTCCTTCCCCAGTCCGGGCTCTGTGCAGCTTCCAAAATTAAAATAAAAGAGAAGAACAGAATAATCGGACTACGGACTTCTGCCCACCCCACTCATGGGTCCAGCTTCTGTGGTCCTTGAGATCCCTCGATGCTGTCCTTCCTTGGCCCGGCTGCCTTGCTGAGCCGGGTGTGTAATTCTTTTAATGGGGTCGAGACCCCTCCTGCAGGTCTCTGTCCGGCTCCCTGCTGAGCTGCCAACCCTACTAAGTTGCAACCCAGGAAGCAGCTTCACCCTCTGGCTCCTGCCCCTGCTCCCATTTCCCCACCACCAGCTTTTAAATCTGCCAGGTGGCAGTTTTTGCTGATGTCATTTGCCGATGCCATTCCCAGCCGGCAATAAAAGCAGTTGATGAACCTTGCCAGCGGTCCTTCGTGGCAATGGCTCCACTTCAGGGCTTTTCATTTCTTTCTTTGGGCAGGTCAGCCCTGCCTCAGGTCCTGCCATGGGAGGCTGCTCCGGTGCCTTTGTTTTTGTCCCCCTAGGGCACCATGCTTTAGTATTTCCTTTTGAAAGTACTAAAGCACAGCACAGCATGGGTGTTTACTGTGCTGTGTGCATGGCACACAGGTAAATTTTGCTGCTATATTGCCGTAGTGGCACACTGTAAGTGGGGAGTGCACCCCTATGGTGATGAAGCTGGTGATCACGTGTAGACCCATGCGATCACTACATTGCTGTAGCACACCATATGGTGACATAGGGTATTGCTACATCACTGTAGGATGATGTGTAGTAGACATGTCCTGAGATGAATAACTGTTAACCAATGTGCCAGTCTGGAGAGTCTTGTCCTTTTGGGGTTATTTTTCCCCTCTTGGGTGCTATGTTATTTTTCCAAGCGGGGAAAAATAACCCCAAAAGGACAAGACTCTCCAGACTGTACACCCTCTGGCAGAGTCAGTTCCTTATCCATTCATGGAGGTCTTAAATGTTCCCACAGGACAGATATAGGCAAATAGGTTTTATGCTAAAATGGGTTAAATGATCAAACTTCTGTTTTTAGTGCCACCTGAGAATTTATAGGCACGTATCGACCTGCCCACTTCCATTTTTTCTGGTGGGTATATTCCAGTAGCTTAATGAAAGCATTATTTTTTGATTGGGGTTATTTCTGCAGGGAGGTCCCAGACACCATATTGAAGGAATCTTTTTCATAATAAATAACCCAAATTTTATTTTATTACAAATCACCTGCCGGTGCACTGTAGAAATTGGACATATCCATTATGTAAGCAGAGTAGATCCTCTTTTCCCACATTATTAGTATCTATCCCAACACATACTTTGTGGGTGTATAAAATTTAACTGTGCTGGTATGATGCACAGTAGGAAAAATATCTGTTGCTTTCTCTAATCATATTACAAATCAGTATTGCAATACTTCCTTATCTTTATTCCTGTAGAGTGACTTTCCCACTCAAATAATGTTCATGTTCTATACATCAGCAAAGGTGATTTATGCATTAATTTTATTTTTTGCTTTTATTTAATTCACAGCCATTATTTCAGTGTGTTATTTCCATATGTACAGCTAGAAAAGGCTTCTTCTTTTTTTTTCTTTCTTTTACAAATGTTCAGTTATTGCCACAGGACAAGAGAAGTCAATCTTTTTCTTGCACATTTTAATGTTGAATGCTATATATGATGATCAAGTTAAGTCATTATTCTTAAAGGAAACTTGAGGACAAGGCAATCTTCCGTAGTGCCATAAGAGAACAAATATCTTATATTCACATTATGACTGCAGGATGCACAAGAGGTTAATTTTATATTTTTGGGTCATGTCTCCCTCTTTTTTCTATTAAAATATTCTGCTTATGCAGAAACCAAAATCGTACTAGACCCAAATTCATTCACTGGCACTGGTGCGAGAATGTGTTAAGTGCTTTCTCCCTGCTAGTGAGGCCCTCGCTGCCCCTGGGGCAATTCACAGTGAAATGCTGTTTTCTCTGATTCATTCTGTTGGGGTTTCTGCCAAGGTGGGAGGAGGTTTGTTTTAATTTACAGAAGAGACCTGATGGCAAAGGCTGTTGAAGGGATAATCTGATCTTGTTTAACCCTTGGCACCTGAAAACACTCCCTTTCCAGCCAGTGCATCTCATTCGGGCTATACAGCACAGTACCTGCATGTGTCTGTGTATTCTGTTTGCTTTTAAGTTATGATGTTATATCTCTGTACACCATAATAGAGTTACCAATACTGTGTAAAATATGTAAAGCAAAGAAAATCATCTCTTATCCAGAGTTCATACAGGCCCCCAAGAGAATAAGTTTATGACAGATTCTTCCTTTAGATGTCTGATAGAGATTCAAATAGGAGGGTCCACGGAAAACTGTGGAGGGGGGCAAAAAGAATTTATTTTCAGGATACTTTAGACCCTTAGAAACTGCATTAGCAATTTTTTAAAATTGTTTACAACCTATAACATTACATGATATACTTATACCATTTATAGTTAATAAAGTCAGAAATCTGATTTTTTTGCCCCTGTATTTTTTTTATCATAATCAGTTAAAAGCATTCATAAAAAATGCTTCTATCTATGGAAAATTCTTTAGTCATATCTTTTTTTGTAACTATGGAAATTATGAAACTAAATTAATCTCTAGGAAATGTGTTACTGACTGTCATTTTTAGGCAGTCATTGTCAATTTACCTGCTATATTATTAAAACTCTCGAGTTGTTATTGTTATAATATAGCACAATAGTAAAGCTAAGCTTATGGCAAAAAATAATATACAAGGTTGTGTTTTTCAATGTTAAAAAAATCCCTTTTGACAAGTTATTTAAAAAACTTTACATTTATTTATTTATTTTGATTTTTGTGTACCATAAATGTATTTCTTTGCCAGGTCCTATTATGTTTTGTTCTTTTTTATTTAGTGCCTAGGAAACAAAACATAAAAGTGGTTTATTACTTTTAAATGCATTTATTAGCTGTAGATGTTAGTTCTGTATGCAAGGTGTCCTGCAAACATATTTGTAGCAGAACATTCTTGTTTCTTATTTTCTCTGGTTTACAATTAAAGTAAATTATTAAAATTACTCAATGTATGTTAATATTCTCAGACATCGAATTAGGAAATCCTGTTATGCTGTAAAAAGCTGCAATAATATAAGTTGCTCTCTTACATAAATAAATAAATGACTGAGATTACTGGAGGCTTTAAGCTCCAAGAAAAAAAAATGGAAGAAGTCTTTTATCCTGGTTTTTAGAGGGCATCAGCAGCTTGCTTTTATGAAAAAGTAACAGCTAAATGCACTGCAAATAATTTGCAGTAATCCAGTTCAGTGATTCATGTGTCTGCTTTAATGGGTCATAATTCAGGGTAAAGTAACTGAGTGCAGTCAGAGTGCAGACACTGCTTATGCCAGGGACAGTATCTCTTCATAAAACACACCTCAGCAGAAGCAGTTTGCCAGCCCCCTAATACCCTCTGATGTTTTGATGTCCTGCATATTTTTCCGATTAAGTTTTGAGTGCCATGTTTTTAGTTGTATTTCCACATTCATTATCCTCACGTAGACCCTTCAGCGGGTTTGCCATATATGATTATTTTTTTAATGATGCCTTTCTTTCCACTTCAGCAGTTTAATAATCTAGCACATGGCTGCTTCTCAGTACTCAGCATTCACCTCCCCAATACAGAGGAGGACATGTGCTTTGGCTTCAAAATTCCATTTGCAGCTTTAGAAATGCATATTCCCTATGGAACAACATTTGTTTGACATAACCATTCATTTTTATTACCTCTTTAAATATGTTTATCCAGAGTTATCAATAATCATAAATAACTTGTATTCTCTTCTTGTCCTGTTTTTTTTCCCACAGACAAAATTGCTTACCCAGTATGTATTAAATCTCGGCAAGTATGATCAAAGCTACGACATCAGAGACCGTACGAGATTTATTAGGCAGCTTATTGTTCCAAATGAGAAGAGTGGAGCTTTAAGCAAATATGCCAAAAAAATATTTCTGGCACAGAAACCTGCCCCATTGCTTGAGTCTCCTTTTAAAGGTATGACTGCCAGTGTCATCTGCCGAATATTTATTACCTGAAGGAATGTAGTAACATATTCTGTTTCTAATATGCCTAAAATGTCACTTGGCAAATATAGATGATTAACATGCAAGTGTATGAAGACATTATGTACTTGACTTACTTGTTTGCTTTTCAGCAAGCAGGATTTGTATGTTGCACACATCGTATTTACCTGATATCCTGGACAAACTGATCAATTTTATCATGTTGGTTTTGAATTTGGTTTGAATAATAGGTGTGTGTCTCAAGAATATTCTTCCATTGAGAAAAATACCTTTATTCACACAGCAAGATTGTTCACCTTAATAGAGTGATCTTAATGTGACTGTTATTAATGCTTTATCAAACTGAAATAATAAAAATCTGATATTCAAATTCAGTTTATTTTTGGGAAGTGGCAATTCTCCTGGTTTGGTTTCCAGGTACTTTTAAAAATAAGGGCTAACGTACAGTGTACTTTGCTATTACTATTTTGTCTTCTCAATTAAAAAATATAGCTTTATTTTGCATTCTTAATTTTCACATAGTTATTTAATCCTGGTTTTGAAGCTGTAAAAGCAGCTCCATTTTGAAGAAAATCTATTAAAATTCTGGATGTGTTTGTGCCAAGACATGTATATGGATTGTTTAACTGTGCTGTCATTCTTAATATTCACAGTAAAGTAATTTTTAGAGAAGCTACATTTCAGAGCAACACCTCTAAACACACTGACTGATTAGCTTTTTTATTGACCATTATGGGGGAGATTATTGTAATCTATGGACTGAAATCAGTTTTTTGACCTATGAAGAGTTTCCTAGTTTATATTTATTCCATGACATTTGAGGTAATATAATGCCAATTACCTTTAGCCCTGATTAAGATTGCTCTTTGTGATAGTGCTCACGTTGTTTGTATATTTTCCCCCTCCCTCCTTTTAATAGATAGGGATCATTTCCAGCTTGGCACCTTATCTCATATTCTGAACACCAAAGCCACTGGGTACCTGGAGTTATCCAGTTGGCCAGAGGTGGCGCCTGACCCATCAGTGCGAAACGTTGAAGTAATTGAGCCGGTACGTTGACATAATGAAAAGTAACTTTATTTGGGTTGTTACCAGATATTAAACATAAAATGACTTTTCCTTCCAGAATGACTTTAATTTGCTATTTTTATGTATAATCTATTTAGTTTACTTAGTCTGTGTTGGAAACAGGAAGCATCCATATTTTAAAGATTTTTTTTCATGGGGAAAATATTTAGATGCTTCACATTCTTTGTATCCTAATGCTCCAACATTAGGGTACCTTATGTGTTTTCCTCTTAGATGAATGTACCTTTTCCTGTGTTGTTATGAGTTTCATACATGCCTTGTTAGTTGAGCAGCAGCATTTTGATTGTAGATGATGCGGGGGTTCCAGTAAAGCAAATGCCTGTCCATCTCATTTATCTTAAAAATATATCTGAAAAAAATAATACAAATTTGATTAAGTATAAGTCTAAACAGAAGAAAATAAAGTATTATAAACAAGAGCAAACAAAGTCCACATGTCCATTTTAGATGCCTTAAATAGTGTATGTGAATGCTATTAAAAATACCATTTGGTGGGGTGGTGAAATCATGACATTAAAGGGTCAGTCAGAGGTATATGAGACAGCTCCAAAAACAGAAAAAATCCTGAAAGAAACATGTCTCCTGATGTGGGCAATGTACAGACTTGTTTAGATGTGACGCAATAGAGAGGTAGTGAGAAGGGGTGATGTGTAGTGGTAAATGAGGGAATTTGATAGGTTGCTTGCAAAAGCTAGGGCATAGTATGACTTAGTAAAGCAGTGGGATTTCCTTTTTAGTAGCTAAATGTTCTATTTGCTTTTGTTTAGCAAAAATGGAGATACATGGCTGAGAAAGGCATAGGGAAAACTAGTTCAGAAAGAGCAGTTCTGGCTTAGAGCTTAGCATAGAACAGGATGTGAAACTATCTTTATTTAAGAAGATACTAGTAAAGGTATTTTGTCTGGTAGCCCAAGGAAAGTAATCCTGTGAGATGCACCTATGTATTTCTGTATAAGCCTCAAGACGGACATGAGCAGTAGCTTAACTAAGTGGGCATGACTGGGGCACTAGGCCCAGATGCTGGTGTGCGTGTGTGTGTGTGTTGTGTGCACATGCATGTGCGAGGCAGAGGGTACTAGGGGTGCAAAAGTAGTAACTGTTGTTGCCACTGCTCTCCTGGCTGCTCTGCTGTTGGCAGCTGGTTGTTGTAGCCATTGCCCTTACTTACAGCACTGCTGTTATCACCCAGAGCAGTTATAGCTGTGAATATGATGGCCATCTCCCAGTAACCTCAAGGAAAATTCCTTTCAAACTCTAGTTTTGCTGTCTTTAGTAGTCTGTGTGTGTGTGATACCAGAGACGTAACAAAAATAGCTAGGATGTGGAACAGATTATTTATGCATTCCAGAGCATTCATATCCAAGGAATCTCAGAACATTCCTTGGAGTCTCAGAAATTCTTTGGAGTCTTAGAACAGCAGACACTTCCTATCCCTGAAGAAGGGTGATTGTGCCCGAATGCTTGCAAAGATTTTTTTTCCAACTACTCAGTTGTTCTAATAAAGGATATCACATCTACCCAAAGAACCTTGCCTGCTCATATCCGAGAAAATATTCATAGTTTGGTTTTTTTGGTTTACATGGAGCATTAGTTGGGAGGTAGAGAATTTGAAACTTCTTGGAGGAGAAAATTTCTATAACTGCACATGTTGAAATAAAATTTTACAAGTCTCTGTGTCTGTAGATCCTTTGGTATATCATAGCTCCTCCAAATTCTGATGCGATTTCCAAATCACTGACATCACTGCCCGACAGACTTACAACATGCTTCTAGCTTAGCTAGTTCTGACTTTTTTTTCCCTTGGCCTGTAAGAATTCCTCACAGGTCCTCTGCTACTCCATCTTTCTCAATTCACTAATGTGGTTTACTGATCCTTGAGTGTAAGAATTTGTCATTTAGAGGAGGTATTGCAGTGTGAAGCAAACCAGAACTGTCCTAAGGGTACTTAAGCTTGCATAGTGTAAGGAACCAGCCTTTGTTTTTTATTTGTGGGGGTTTTGGGGGGGAGGGGAGGAGAGTGGGGGGAGTATAGCAAAGAATTGACCTTTTTCACTGTCCCCTAAAACTTGATTTGGGTGTCAGAAAGGTGGTATATAAGCCCACCTGTGCACTTTATTTTCTCAGGTCTCTTGCTAAGCTGAGGTCAGCAACACTTCTATCTCCTGTAGAAGTAAGGGGGTTTTTATGGCCTGCAAATGTAGTTATGATCCTTTTTGCAGTACCTTTTGTGATCTCCTAATATGGTCACCTTACCCTGGTCAAGAACTTGTGGTAGTACTCAAGGTTAAAAATAATAATAGTGCAATAATGGTTTTCATTATCATATTTATAATCCTGTCTAGGGAAACAGTCTTTGATCCCATTAGCTTTCTTTACCATGTTGTGTCTCTGCTCCTATGTTACAAAGGTAAATGATTCTCATAAGTTTATACAGAAACTTTTGCGAGTATCATGTTGAAATTCACTTGCAGACAAAAGAATGGACTGGACTTCTAGGCAAAGCGAAGAAAGAGAAGCCTACTAAACAGTTTTATTCTGAGGATGAAGATGAGGATGAATCTGCTAGCAGCAGTGATACTGGTATGTATTTTGGTCACTAACTTGCATGTCTCTTGTGTAGTATACCATGCCTTCAAAACATGGTATTATTAGAACAGGAGAAGTGAAAAAAATGTTTCCCAGAATTCAGGTATAAATGAGGAAATGGGGCTTAACTTGAAAAGCTTAAGTTTCTTGATTACAGATACAGTTGATAACTATGTGGATAATATCTGCAGACATGCCATTTCAGTGAGTAAATCATGGTTTTTGCTTTTTTTTTTTTTTTTTTTTTTAGCTTAGTATAACTGGGAAAGCTACTACTCTTACTAAACATAAAGTCAATTGAGAGTTACTGATAACTTGCAACTCTCCCATGTCATAATATGTAGGACTAAAAATATCTACAAATTTACTTTGTTGGTGGAGACCCTACACATTTTAATTGGTTTGTGCCAAATTGTTTATTTTAATAATGTGTTGACTTGTTGATAAGTGATTTGTGCTGAAGTACAAATTCACTTCAGTAGATTTTACCTTGGATCTTCTAGAGGCAAAATTTTGTTTGTTACATTCTTCCTATAGAGGAATTTGTTTTACTAATTTTTCTATTTGCATAGACTTTGTTGTAATGATAAAGGTAAATGATTTTTTGGTCACCTAAATTTTGAGAAACAGATCCATGAGGTTGACATTTCCTATAGATTGCCATATAGCTTAAGCAATTGGGGAATCAGGGTCTTGATGTTTGGCATTTGAGAGTTAGAAGAATTTGTGTTGCATATATGCTAAATTGAACAGTAAGAAAGATGTTTTCATATCCAAGTTTATAATTTCCCCCTGAAAATAGAGGTTATGATAGAGGAGAAGTGCTTAAAGGTTGTATTGCTGGAAGTAATGGACTGAAACTAGAAAAGGATACATTCGATTTAGACATTAGGAACATTTTCCAACCATAAGGTCAATTAGAGAATGAATAACTTGTTTAAGTTGGTGGTTAAATCGTTAACTCTATAGGTATTCAGGAATAGATTAAATAAAATACAAAGGCAATTAGTATAGAGAATAGTTCTGCAAAAGAGCAAAGGGATGGGCTAGAGGACTTAGTCATCTCTAAGTCCTAATTTTTGCAGGTAATTTTGGAGGATATTGTTAAAAATCCAGCTATAATTAATATAATTAGTCCTAATTCAAACAGGTACAGCAAACAAAGAGATTTTAAAGATAGCAAAACATCATTGATATTAAGGTAAAAGAATATTTTTAAATAGTCTAATTTGACTCCAGTTAATTGGATCCAGGTATAACTGTGAAGTGGATCTGTAAATAAAATGATTAAAAAAAAAATTGGGCTGTTCTAGGAAGTAAATATATGGTGTTTGGGGGGAAAAAAGATAGAGTTATGGTGTTTACATTTCAGAGAGTAAATCTGGTAGTGAAAGTGAAAAAGACAAGGAAGAAGGAAGCAGTATGGAAAGCAGTGGAAGTTCTTCCAGTGAAGAATCAAGTGATAGTGAAATGGACAGCAAAGAAGGTAGAACAAAGAAAAAATCTGAAACAAGTGAGGAAAGGTAAATGTGTTGGATTGTGTTTTGGGTGGGGAAGGGGGACAAAGGAGAGGATACAGCATTTCAACCTTGGTTGAATACCTGATTAAGTTGTTCTTTTCCTATGATTTAGCTTCTAATATCTGCACCCACCTTTTGGAATGCAATTACCTGTTTTAATATATTTTTAATGTATTTGGTTCTCTTCATTAGTTGGACTGCTTTTATGCTTGGCTTTTATATCTAACTTTAGCAAAATCTTGGGGTGGCTTCCTAAAATTGATGTAACCTTGGGAAGCAGAGTAAGTGATCAAGCAGTTGTATGAAACACTTAATTACCTTTTGCAGCAATTTTGCTGAGAGTTAAAATTAAGTCCTTCAACATTTTGCCATTATGTAACTAAGACAATTGATTTTTCTAAATAATGTTATATTCAAAAGGTTATGATCCAAATATTAGAGGCAAAGGCTGTGAAGGGAGACGGTCATAAGCTATTTTAAGTGTTAGTGCTTTTTAAGATTGCCTATTATCAACAGCATTATCATGTATTAAAATATCATTAAAATTTTGAGTAATTGGGGCTAATACCTTGGATTGCATGAATCTGTTTCTTTCACTGCTGTCAGCAAGTGGCCTCTGCAGACATGATCGCCCTTTACTCTGTAGCCTGCTGCCAGCTCAGTTGATGAGTTTGCAGCTCAGCTCAGTCGTGGCTGACAGCACTGATTGGGGTGCAGTACGCACTCTGCTCCTTTTATTACAGACAGTAATTAAAGCAGCTCGCCCTGCCACTTCCATAACAAACACAGCATAATGCCCTAATTATGACTTTATTAATTTAAGTCAGGATTTAATGATTTTAAAAGTGATTTATATTGTTTTTCCTGTTCAGAACAAATGAAATCTGTAGGTTAAATTAATACAGGCTTTTCATCATTGCAAAGTTAAAAAGCTAGTTACCAGTAAATTCTTTTCATTAGATTAACATCTGAAATTCTAAGCAGTAAGGTAAACAATGATTACCCATCAAAACTGAGTGAAGCATAACAAAATAATACTTTTATCTTGAAAAATCTTATCTTAAAGCTGAAAGCGGTGTGTGTTCAAAACAACTTGCATTTCTTATTACAACAAAAGAATATTCAAGATCACGGTGAATTCTTCGTTGATACAAATTTTGCTGGGTAGATTCCCTGGATTCTACTAAATAGGGAAATAGCAATGTGTTTTGCTGGCATCAGTTTGCGCTGGAATTAGGAAAAAACTTTAGATGTAATCAGTTAGGGAATTCTGTTATCATCAGTGGTCTCACAAGTAAGTATATGTGCCTTTTAATTGTGGTAAGTTATTTCAGGTTTTTTCTTTTTCTTTCCCGTTCATTTGGAGAACACAGATATGCTGTTGTGCAACTGTAGTGCCTCTTGTGAGGTTTTAAAGCTACTGTCTTGAGAAGCAATACTATTCGGTTCCGAAAACTATATTTTTAGGTTTCAACTTTCTTACGTGGCCTAAGCATGGTTACCATGGCTTCCTTTTAATAAGTAGACATCGTATTTGCTTCAGAAAATTAAATTCTGGGGAATATTGGGGTTTTTTCCAAACACTTTACCAGTTCATTTTTTCTTTTCTAGTTTTGTCCCTTTATAAAATCATATCTTGAAACTAGCGTGGTATAATACATGCTTATGGTTACCTTCTCACCCCTCCTCTTTCCCCCCCAAGTTTTTAGAATACAGAAATGGATCCAAAGGACCCTGTAGTTCCATAACACTAAAGCAATCAGGTTTTGTTTTATTGTTTATAGACCTTATCTGTTCACTTTAATACCTCAAAGTGCAATCCTTATAAGAGGGAGGCTTGTTTGAGGAATAGTATCCATAGCATGAAATGCCTTTTTTCAAAGTATAAACTACTGGTCTACAGGGCCACATCCTGTGTGGTAGTAGAAACTTTACTGCTTGTATTTTAATAGGTGTTGGGGGGAATATTGTTTTCTTTCTTTTGGCAAGTTAATTATTAGCAGGGATCTTGGTTTCCTCTGATTTAAAAAAAAAAAAGGGAAATTCTTTCATTTTAAAAACCTAAAATCTGTATTTTTCTGTGGTAAAAATGAAATGCCACTATATATAGGTATCAGTTGAGCACAATGTTTTATTGATATATTTACAGTTTTAAAGCAGTTAAGAAGCAGCCTACCAGTGTTTCAATCACTATCATAAAATTAATTCTAAATACCTATACATTTTGGCATTTGATTTGGGGGTTTTTATCATGGAAAATCAGAGCTCCCCCTGCCCCCTTCACTCACCAGGGTGTGGGTCCAGCTGCAACTGTCTCCCTTCACTGCTTTGTGGTGCTGAAAAGCCTTCACATGCTAGTGCTCTGCCCATGCCATTGCTCCTCACTCCCAAGCCACAGCACCCTGAGCCCTGCTGGTGCCCTTTATTCCCCACCCACAGCTCCCTACCCTACAGCCCTGCTGGAGGGGCCCCCAGCTGACACAGCTATGGAGCTAGGGACCTAGGTCCACAGCCCTCTGCCCCCCACAGCAGCACTCAAGCCCTGGCTGCCACATGTGGAAGGCAGTGGCTGCTGCATTGGAGCAGAGTGTGGAGCCTCGCCCCCCTCCATCCTCTACTCCATGGGTGGCACAGCCAGAGAGGAGCCTGTGGGGTGGGGGGGTCAGACGTGGGCTTGGGCCCCCCATCCTGCTGCCCTCCCCATGGGGTCTCTGTGACCCAGCAGGTAAGAGCAGAGCTGGGCAGAGAAGCTCAGTGTTACCACAGTGGAGGCCCTGGGGGGAGAGCAGCAGGGCAGGGAGCCCCAAGCATGCAGCGGGAAGCCCACCCCCACCCCATGCACAAATTTGGGGGGCATGTGTCCCGCCATCTCCCTCTGGGAACGCGTGCAGGGGTGGGGATCCAGCCCCTTTCCCACCCCCTGGACGAGCCTCCTGTAGTCCTGTCCCGCTCCCTGCCTAGGCCCTGTGGCCATGCATTCTGGCCCTAGGCCCCAGCTGGGCATCACTCCCAGCCCCAGCCCTGCTGAACTCCCTCCCTCCCTTGCTATGGAGGCCTCAGTCCTCTCCCTCCCCCCAACCAGACTTACCTTCAGAGAGCTGCTCTCTGGGCTCCCTGACAGCCATGTGCATGTATAAGTGCTCACATGCACATGGCATCCCCTGTCTGATTGCCCTTCTCCTGCTCTTGTAGGCTGAAACTCTGTTGGCTTGCAAGGGGAAACCCACTGCTTCCTGGGTTTTCTCCTTAAAATGAGAAAATCTGGGTTTTTACCACATTTTTCTGTGGTGAATGGAAAACCTGGATCCCTGATTATTAGTCTCTGTCTGAGATGCAAGTAAACAAAATATTTAAAATAATATCACTATAGTGAGCAAAAAAAAAAACCAACCCCAAAAAACCTACTTACAATTTTCACTGGTTATGGACAATTGCAATATGAGTCCTATTTTGTCAAGATGAGTAGCACTTTACTGTGTGAGAGAACACCCAGAAATCCATAGGGGTTTCTTTGAGAGATGTTCTTTTTGGCATAAGCTACCACAGGGCTTCTCAGCTTCTAGGCATACTGGGGCCATATGCCTAGCAGGCCAGGACCTGCAGGGACTGCATGCCATGTGGGTGGCTGGGTGTCCCCTCATAGTGTGGGCTGCCCAGCACCTTTCCCTGTCCATGCACCCGTAAATTAACCCAGCTTTCCCTTCCTGCAGACACATGTCACATGGGCAACCCCCTGCTGTCCCTGCCATGGGCGCAGCAGCTGTCTCCTCACCCTGCCTTCCCTCTCCCTCTCCCCTCGTTGCATACACCACTCATCTGCAACATGGGCAGTTTGGCTTCCTTTACCATGCATGGTTCAAGCATTCCAGCCCTCTCCTAGCTGCTGGGATAGGCCTGCAGGCTGCATGGATGCATGTGGCCTAAAGGTTGGACAGCCCTGAGCTAGGATGTCAAGATGTTGCCTTGGTAGTGCTGGAGTGATATTTAGACATGATGGTTTAGGAAATATGTGAGAGGCAAGAATTTCTGAGAGCAAGATCTTTTATTGAGCCAACTACACGGCTGGGATAGATTTAGACAGACTTTCAAATACACTTTCAAAAACCTGTCCAAGTCTCTTCCAATCATGGCGTTGATCCAGTAAAAGGTATCACCCACAACATCTTTGCCTCTAAAGATGTTACCTTATTTTATAGAACTGTTTTAAGTTGCAGTGTGTTATAACATTCCTATATTGGACCAATACTACTTTATAAATATTTCTCTTTCTAGTTAGTTTAATTTAAAAGCATCAATGAACAACTCCTAATTCAGTGAAAGTTACTTTGCACAAAAAATGGAAATCAATCAAGGTTTCTTAAACCAAAGGTTAAATAGTGTGAAAGCTGCACAGTCTAAAAGAATCACTGTTTTTTTAGAAAGTGCTATAAACATAGTGCTGCCAAGCATTATTCCCTCTTGAATTATTAATTACCACTGCTTTATTATTTTTATGACCTCTTCTGTTTCATTGTTTTGTTGGAAGGATTTTTGCTTATGCAGTTGATGTACTTTGTGACATACGGTACATTATTTAGGTAGCTACAACATTGTCTATATGATTTTATTGATACATTAGCTATTTATGCCATCTTAGCTAGGTTTCAGTTGTCATGAGAAATTGGTTACTCCAACCTACTTTTAATAAAGTGTTGGAAGGACAAAGTTTAGGACTTTTTCTGAGCGCTGACCCCTCTGTCTTGGCTTCTTTTCTTGCACCAGATATTTTTCAGTGTTTTTTCACTTTTTAAAATAGCACATTCTTTTTAAACACAGTGACTCAGATGACACTGAAAAGAAAACAGAGATGATCTCCAAAGGAAAGAGAACCTCCAGGTCCTCTGAATCAGGATCTAGTTCAACAGAGGAAAGTTCTTCAGGTTCTGAATCAGAATCTGACTCTGAAAGTGACTCTGGATTAAAAAAACCTGAAAAGGCCACTTCAAACAAGGTAAAGTCTGTATAACCTTACATTAAAAATTTCGTCTGGTCATTTGTATGTCTCTGTCTGTTTGTAGAGGTGTCTTGAAAGTAGCAATTCTCAGAATACTTTGTGGCATAAATTTATGTTTTTAGCTAGACTAAAACTAAATTTAATCAGCATTTGAATAATATGATTAGCACATGATCAGCATGTAATAGAATCAGCACACAAATATAATCAGCACTTCACAATATTGGGAAAAGTGTCAGATTCTCCTGTGTGTGTATTCTTATACCATAAATCTGGAGTAATTTCTAGTGTAGCTGTTCTGATTTTTACAACCAAATTCAGAATCATAATTTCTGTTTAAGTTGTGGTGTGCATCATATCAAGTCTACGGCCAAATCTTCAAAAGTGCAAAAGTAAAAGTAAAAAAAGGTGTATATACATTGATACATCCCTACTTTCAGCTCATAAATACTCTTAGTGAACATTAGTTAAATGCTATATGTTTGTGTGCATATGTGAATTAAGATGTGCAAATTCTTAGTTTAAGTGTTCTACTTCAGATTTTAGCAGTCACCATTGTCCTTCATGTATGCTCATAATATAAGTTTGCTTATGTTCCAACAATAAGTATTTTCTGTATGAAGATCAGGTGTAAATGTAGATCCAAAATTAGAGTTTTGAGGGATTTAAACGTAAAAATAGGAGTCTATACCTGTACTCTTTAATAGACCTGTACTCTTTAATGTCTTCATAAACAATCTGGACACTGGTGTCAGAAGCGGCCTGGCTAAGTTTGCTGATGGCATCAAACTTTGGGGAAGAGTGTCCACACTTGAGGATAGGCTGGTGATCCAGGCTGACCTCTATAAGCTTACAAAGTGGGCGGATGAAAACTCGATGGAATTCAATACAGAGAAATGCAAGGTACTCCATCTTGGGAAAAGAAACCGGCATCACACTTATAGGTTCGGCAGTGCTATGCTCACTAGCACCTTGACTGAAAGAGACTTGGGGTCATGACTGACCACAAGATGAACACGAGCCACCAATGTGATACCACAGCTGGCAAAGCAAACAAAACTCTGTCTTGCATCTACCAATGTATCTTGAGCAGGACCCAGGAGATCATCCTCCTGCTGTACTCGGGCTTGGTGAGGCTGCAGCTGGAGTACTGCATCCAATTCTTGAAAGAGTCCACAGGAGAGCCACGTGCATGATCAGAGGGCAAGAGAACAGGCCTTACAGAGAGAGACTATGAGCCCTGAAAAGCAGAGGCTCAGAGACGACTTGGTACATAAGTACATAAGGGGTGTGCATCAGGATCTGAGGGAATGCCTGTTCACCAGAGCACCACAAGGTCCAGCGATCACAAACTCCTAAAATGGTCTTGCAGGATGGACTTAAGGAAGAACTTCTTTACTGTCTAAGCCCCCAAGGCCTGGAACAGACTCCCCCCCCAGATGTGGTGCAAGCACCTACTCTGGACATTTTTAAAAAACATTTGGATGCTTACCTTGCTGGGACCCCAGCTGACTTCCTGCCCCTTGGGCAAGGGCCTGGACCCAGTGATCTTATGAAGTCTCTTCCAGCTCTAATGTCTATGAAATCTATAAAATAATTATAGCTTTAACTGTAGTGGGTTTTTTTGCTCTAGGTGCGCCCATTTCTCTAAGTGTCTGTTGAAATAGCTGAGCTGATGCCTCTGGTGCATAGTGAAAATTGTGAATGGTTCACTAAAATATCTTGATTATTGGGTCATATTACTATCCTGTATGTGAACAATATCAGAATGTGTTCCTAAATCAGTAACATTGTATGCGCTGGGCAAGTTTATAAGGTAGGAGGTAGGGCTGTGCAAAGCTTCAGTCCCTGATTTGATTCAGCGGAGATTCTACCCGATTTGGTGGCCAAATCCGAATTGAATCAGGAAACCCTTTAATCTCTCCAAATCAAATCGGAACCCTCTGAATCGATTCAGAGAGATTCGGAAAGATTCAGAGATTCGGACATAGACGCAGCTTTAAATGTTTTTTCTACATACCTCAAGGTAGCAGGTGGCTCATGAATGCTATGATGGTGGGGCATATGGAGCGTCCCACAGGAGCTCAGGGGGCTCCCCAGCGTGATCAGCAGCAGATCCAGAAGTGGATCAGAAGCACTTCTGGGTCCACTGGGGAGCACTCAGGGGAATTCCCCTGCGCCTTCCGGGCTTGGTGACTGGTGCCCTTGGTCTGGGGAGGGGGAGGCATCCAGGTTCCCTCTGCAGCCAATCACTGACCCGAGGATACGCACCCCTCCCCTTCCCCCCTCACCCCACACTCCCAGACTGACCCAGAAGTGTGCTCCCCCGTGGACACTTCCAGGTTCGCAGCCAAGCAAGTGAGGGCCCCCCAGTGCTCCTGTGTGATGCTTCATCTGTCGTAGCATCACAGTGTTCACAAGCTGCACCTGGTACCTCGAGGTATGTAGAAAAAACATTTAAAGCTGTCTCTATGGCCGAATCACTGATTCTGCAAATAAGCATTGAATCTTCCGATTCAGATTCAGCTGAATCGAATCAGGAGCAGTGATCTGAATCAACAGATCGAATCACTGTCCCCAATTCGGGCCGAATCGAATATGGCCCATTTCGCACACGCCTAGTAGGAGGTTTAAAACCCAAATGCCATCACTCTATCTCAAGGGGTTGGAAGTTCTAATTTTTAGAAGTCCAATCTAAAATAAGAATGTGGCCAGTGAGTTCTGGCATGTGGCTCTTCTAAGTTTAAGGACAATGCTATCACAAATTTAAATGTCTATAAACTGGCTGTGAACTAATTTAGTTTAGAAATTTAAAATTTTCTAACCCTGATCCAGTGAAGTTTAGGAACAGATTTCCAAACAAAGTAATGAGGGCAGAGGTTGCTTCAAGATCAAGCTTGTCAAGTGTATGGAATGGATATGGTGACAGGACAGGGTTCCTGGAGCAATAATTTGTTCAGTATGATAGGTGGATTCAGGTATTTGTTATCTCCATGATGAAATTGAAAGGAAACACTTTCTCTATTCTGGAAGTGTCTGGTGATCCATACTTCAGGGCTTCCATTGTTCACTTATTAGGAACCACAGATATTTATTTTTCTCATGAATGCTCTGTTTGGCTTCTAGTGGGTTTTGGGGGTTGTTGTTTTTTTTGCCTTCCTCTAAAGCATTGGCCATACTCCACAGCTTCAGATGGGAGTTTGCCCAGGCTCTGCTGGTGCTCCTGCTAGTTCTTAGTACATCTCAGGTGTCTTCTTGAAGGGTCTTATACACTTTGGGGCAGACTGATAGTCAAATTTGGGGTCAGGAAAGAATTTTTTACCCAACTCATATTGGCAAGGACTGTGGGGGTTCTTGTTTGTTTGTTTACTTTTTGTTTTTTAGTTTTCCTTTTTTATGCGATGCATGGTTCTCTTAGGATTGTCTGAGCTTATACTAATCAAACAAATTCTTTAAATTGGACTCTGAAGTGTGTGAAAGGTTTTATAAACTTCTCATTCAGCAGAGCTGTTCCTTATTTGAGTTCAGCTCACAAATGTGTCTGCTTTAGTTGAAACATTTTTTTCTAAAGATACGTATTTTGGTTTAGCAATACTATGAATATACGATGGATTCTCTTCTCTTTTGTACGCTCCGGGTTTGGCTTGAAGGTAGTGATTTTACACAGCTGAAACTGAGGACCCACCTTAGCCTGCAGATGTATGAAAAATTAAATATGTAAATAGATTGTCTGGTTCTCACTGGGTTTGTAGAACTGGAAATTAGAAGATTTTTTTACATGTAACCTAAACAATTGCTATATCCAAATGTATGTTTACTTTAAGGAATGTGAAACTCCATGCTGAATCTTTGAAGGGAAAATAGTGAAAAAATATTGAAACGCATAGTCCTATTATCATAGAAAATAGTCTGCGCAGCTCTACCCCTTTTTTATAAAATCTTTCATCTTAAAACCTTAATTCAGAGTTTCCATTTTAATTTAGATAATGTTTTTTATAGAATTAGATGATGTTCTGAGGCACTGGAAAACTAAATGACACATTTCATTCAAGATTCCAGTTTCTTTAGAAAACAGATAGTATAGTCAACACTTATCACATCTTATGCAAACCTGGAAATGGACACAGATGTATATCATAGTTGTGGTTAAATGTGACAGTTTCAACTTGTTAAACCAATCATGGATAAATCATTACCCAAATGAGAGTAATCTTAAAACTACCCAGAAGGACAATTCTACTAGGAATGACCCTGGGTTTTACCTTAAAGATAGGTTAAAGGAAGTGTTGCCCTTTTAACTGTGTAGTTTGCACAGGGAGCATGCCTTGATGTCAGAGTCCCATTGCATTTCCTCCTCTATCTAAGACACAGGAGAGATGAAGGGAGCCCCATACTACATGAAAAATGGAAGCTTATATCTGTATTGTCCAAGCAGCCCACTGGGTAATTAACTTCACTGGAACTCACTGAAGTTAAATGTAATGTAACCTCCATATAACTGACTTATGGGATGCTACATGAAAAGTAGAATACCTCTCACCCTCACCTGCACAACTACATGTCACTTTTTCCTGAGAGAAGTCCTGAACCTGAACAAATTTGGCAACCAGATTTGGCTAAGCTTGAGCAGCCATGCTCAGTTAAGTGTTTTTGCTGTTTTTTCTCTCACCTGTGCACGCATATCTTTAGGACTTCCTGGGACATATTCCATAGTTCTTTATGCTGTCTTACTCTGATTTATTTCCTAATGAATTGTGAGGTAACTTAAAATATGGAAAAAATGTGGAAATGCATTGGAGAATTATCAGCATGCAGGTGGTTTAATCTGTGCCCCCATTGCAAAGTAATATTGTTAATAATCCAAGCCATCAGTCTGTAATCTTTTTGCAACCCACCACTGGTCTGAGGCAGGTTGGCCTAGGACTGGGCTGCCCTTCCTGCCTCCCAGCTGCTATATGGGTGACGCTTCCAGCTGGCCAGCCACAACACAGGCGAAG